TCCCGCGCTCCCGTGCCCCCCTCTCCACCCCCCCGCAACCCCTAGAGTGTACTAGTGCCCCCTTGATAAAACCCATAATTTTACAATGAAACACGCATTTTACAATCTTCGGGACTGATTTGAAGTTTTCAAATAAAAAAAAACATACATTTATTGTGTAAATATTTGGGCAGCATTTTTCCATAAATATAAGCTTCCCCAGAGCAAAAATAACCTGTTGAATATGATAAATTATAAATGCAATGTAATGCCAATAATAAACATATTGCAATAATGTTGTGTATCTATTTTACAACCAAAACAACTAACATTTCATATACTAGGAGTCACTGGCCTCTTCAACTTTTCAATTGACATTTATGTTTCGGGATCTAGATTCTGCCTGATTACCTCCAAAGCCTCGATCTTTGACTTTATAGTCACTTTCACTGGGAAATACTGCCGCACAGGATCCATGATCATCTTTAGATGTCCGATCCCAGGAAGTTCACCTGTGTTGTATTTTGGGAGGTCATACTGAAAAAGAAGAAAAAACACACCGGTCAGAACCGACCAAAACGACAGAACCGATCAGAATAGACAGAGAAACCAACAAGAACCGACTGAACCGACCATGACCCGACCCAAAATCCCCGCAGAACCGACCTAAACCGACCAAGAACCGACCAAGAACCGACCTCACTAAGAACCGACCAGAACCGACCCCTCTCGACAAGAACCGACTACGAACCGACCACTAGAAACGACTTAAAATCGACCTAGAACCGACTGAGAACAGACCAGAACCAAAACCGACTATGAACAGACCAATGTTGCTTATATTAAGTTTTTGTTCTTGCAAAAATATATAAGAAAAAGTAAAATAAAAATATTACCTCAGCAGATTCTGTTGCCTCGTCGACAACTGTTCGGGAAATTACCATTTTAGTTGAGGAAGAAGAGCTGATTTTTTATGCCATTTTAGTCGGATTTTGGTGAGCAGGTGGTCGGTTTTTGTGGTCGGGAATTTGGTGAGTGGTCGGGGTCGGTTTTTGGTCGGTTTTAGTGGGAAGGGAGTCGGTTTTTTATGAACGGTCGGTGTTTGGTGAGTGGTCGGTCGGCCGAGACAAGAGAGATCGGAGAGTGGATTGGAGAGAGAGAGAGAGAAATAGGTGAGAGGAAAGCCGGTAGTCGGTCGTGAGGTTGGTGACTGATCGGAGAGAAAAGCCGGCAGTCGGCAAGAGGTGATCGAAGAGAAAAACCGGTGGTCAGTCGTGAGAGAGCTCAGTCGGGGGAGAGAGGGTCGAGCGGTCGATTTTGGGGGGAAGAGAGGGTCGAGCGGCGGTCAATTTTGTGAGGAATGAGATTTTTAAAAATGACCTAAGACTAATAGGACCCATTTTTTGTCACGTAAGATACACGTTATCATTTTTTTGTTATAAAAAAAAACTGATCTATTTCCTCAAATTCTGATTTTCTCCATCTCTTTTATCAAATTTTCTTAGCCCTAATACCTTTTCTTCTTTGGTTTTGTTTTCATCCACCGTTTTTGTCTCTCTGTCTTGCTTTTTTTTTTCCTTCTTTGCCTTCATCTGTTGATTTCGTTCTTCTCTTTGCCTTGATTTTGGTTGGGATGCTGAGGGTTTTCCTCTGTGTTGTTGGTGTGTGGGTCCTTTTGGTGGGCTTTGGGCAGGAGTTCATTTTTTCTTCTTTCATTTTGTTTTCTCACTCTTTTTTTTCCCCTTCTTCTCTTTGGCTTGATTTTGGTTGGGATGCTGGGGGTTTTCCTCTGTGTTGTTGGTGTGTCGCTCCTTTTGGTGGGCTTTGGGCAGGAGTTCATTTTTTGTTCTTTCGTTTTGTTTTCTCACTCTTTTTTTTTTTTTTTTCATTTCCTCATTTCGTTGTTCCCTCTGTGTCGTTGGTGTGTGGCTCCTTTTGGTGGGCTTTGGGCAGGAGTTCATTTTTTGTTCTTTCGTTTTGTTTTCTCACTCTTTTTTTTTTTTTTCATTTCGTTGTTCTGTTCTGTCTATTCATCCGTGTGAAGCCCTAATATTTTTTCTTCTTTGGTTTTGTTATCGTCCGCCGTTTCTGTCTCTCTGTTTTCCTTTTTTTTTCCCCTTGCCTTCATCTGTTGATTTCGTTCTTCTCTTTGGTTTGGTTTTGGTTGGGATGCTGGGGGTTTTCCTCTTTGTTGTTGGTGTGTGGGTCCTTTTTGTGGGCTTTGGGCAGGAGTTCACTTTTTCTTCTTTGATTTTGTTTTCTCGCTTTTTTTTTTTTTTTTTCATTTCCTCATTTTGTTGTTTTGTTTGGCTCGATTTTGGTTGGGATTCTGGGGATTATATGCAATTTTTGTCCTTTTTTTGTTTATGCTTCTTATTTTGTGGTTTGTTTGATTACTATTCTCAGTTTCGTTCTTTATGCATTATTAATTTGATTATATATTTTTGCTCTAATTTTGGTCGGTTATTTTTATTGAGTTATATTTATAGTTGGTATAAGAACTTTATTTATCATTTTCTTTAAAAAATTTGTTTTTGCAGGTGTTTTATCTATTTTCGTCGCTTTTGTTCTCTTGCATTTCACGGTGGATGGGGATAATGTGAGATTTTTTTCCCTTTCATTTATTGTGCTGATGATCTGGATTTTTGGGTTGTGCTTTGATTTCCTAGGTTGATGACTCATTCTGATTTTATTACGGTTGTATTAAACAATTTAGAAATTTTTTCTTTCTGTATCTTCTGGACCAATTTTAGGGCAAATTTTTTTTTTCTCTTTTTTGGTCCCTTGTTTTTAGTCTTTCCTTTGCTTCTGTCGTTTTTTATTTCTTATGTTTTTAGTTTATCATCTTCTTTAAAGAATTTGGTTTTGCAGGTGCTTTATTCACTTTAATGGCTTTTCTTCTACTCCATTTGACGTTGTGTATGGGTAATATCAGATTTTTTTTTGCTTTTGATTTATTGCGGTGATGATCTAGACTTTTTGGGTTGTCCTTTGATTTGCTAGGTTGATGACTCATTCTGATTTTGTTACGGATGTATTAAATAAATCAAAGATTTTTTGTTTTTGTATTTTCTAGAATTGTATTAGTGTCATGTGATATTATCTTCAACTTTTACCAATTTTAGGGGAAAATTTTTTCCCTATTTTTTTGTCCTTTTTCCAGTTCTTTCCTTTATGATAACTTTTCTAGCTATTTTTCCGAACCAATGTACATTAATACGTGTTATATTCTTATACATTGTTTACATAACTTTTCTAGCTATTATTTATTAATGTTGTTGGTTGGATAGATTTGTCATGTATATTTTCCTCCACCTGTCCTCCTTCCCCTTCCATATCATCCGTTATCACTATCCATTTTCCGTCATTACTTCTCATTTATTGCTTCCCTTTTACACTTTTGTGGCTCTAACTCTTTGTGTTTGATATCTTTTTATCCATGACCATTGACTTTTTCACTTCACATTCCATTATTTACTGCTATTTATCCTTATTTTTCTATCCTTAACTAGCTGTATTTCTTTCTGGTTGGTCAATATTTTACAGTTAGCACAAATTTTACAGTGGTGCAGGTACTATCAATAACTTCTACTCTGTTTTTTCTCATGTTATTAATGCTTGCTTTCATGTTATTAGTATTTACTGTTATCTTTTTTCATTGGTTTTATTATTATTCAATGGAATTGAAATGTTTATTTGTATTTTATCTTCCTGCCATGTTTTTAATATATACCATTGTCTTTCTTCATTGCTTTTCTCGACCTATGGCTTTACTATTTTATCATTATTCAATCTCATTGAAATATCTATTTGCATTTTATTTACTTTTTGGGACTATGTTTAATATGTTTTTAATTTAGATGTTTAGTTTTACTTTCTTTTTTCCATTTCTCTTATTTTTTTCTCTATATTTTTTTCTTTGTCTCCTTTTTCTTCATTTTTCTTTCTCTTATAATGATGATAGGGAAACATAAATTTAATATGTTGAATTTACTATGGTTTTTCAGGAATTGCTGTCAATACATGTTTTTGACTTCATTCTATTTTTTCTTATTTTTTCTAATCCAGAATCTTTCATTGCTCTGTTATCCCTATTTTGGTTCATTTTTATATTCGTACTGTTATTAAATCAATATTAAATATAAAGATTACTTATATGTCTATATATATATATATCACCTTTTCTTTTGTATTATTAAATACTGTTTTTTCCCCACATCTTTTTTCTATTTATGATATTTTTGCACGATTTTCTGTTGTTAACAATTTCTAATATTCTTACTCTTATTCTTTGAATTAAAATTTGTTTTCCTATGATATTATCACAATATAATAATAAAAGAAATTCCATCTGAATTATTTATCCATAATCACTTTACACTTTTGATAATAATGCTATACCCTTTTTCTTCCTTTTCCTCTTCTTTTTTTGTTTGTAAGCGATGAATTTGTTGGTTTTTAAGATTCTCCTAATGTGTTTGGACCATTTTGTTTTTATTGCTATTTACTGTTCTCTTTCTATCCTTAACTAATTGTATTTGTTCCCGTTTGGTTGATATTTTACAGTTAGCACAGTTTTCACAGTGGTCCAGGTACACTTAATAACTTCTACTTCCTTTTTTTCATGTTATTAACGCTTGCTCCCATATTATTAATATTTACCTATCCTTATTTAATTGTGTTTGTTTTTGCTTGCTTAATATTTTACAGTTAGCACACTTTTCATAGTGATCCAGGTACTATTAATAACTTCAATTCTCTTTTTTTATGTTATTAATGCTTGCTCATATGTTATAAATATTTACCGTTGTTTTTTTTATTAGTTTTATTATTATTCAATAAAATTAAAATGTTTATTTGTATTTTATCTTCTTACCAAGTTTTTAATATATACCATTTTCTTTGTTCATTGCTTTTGTCAACCTACGGATTTACTATATATCATTATTCAATGGCATTCAAATATTTATTTGCACTTTATTCATTTTTTGGCATTATATTTAAGTATGCTTTTAATTTAGATGTTTTAGTTCTTCTCTTTAGCTTGATTTTAGTTGCGATGCTAAGGGTTTTGTATTATTAAATATTTTTTTTTTCTACATTTTCTTTGTATTTATGACATTCTCTCATGATTTTGTGTTATCAACAATTTCTTATATTTTTACTATTGCTACCTGAATTAAAATTTGTTTTCCTATAATATTATTACAATATAGTAATAAAAGAAACCACATCAGAATTATTTATCTATACTAAATTTACTATTTTCATAATAATATTTCATCATATTTCTTCCTTTTCCTCTTCTTTTTTTGTTTGTAAGTGATGGATCTGTTGGTGTTTTACATTCTCCTCATATATTTGGACAATTTTGTTCTCATAATGTTAGTTTTTTCTCATATACATTCTTCTATTCACCTTTGTTTTCTTCGTTTTTCCTCTTTATGTTTGATCAATCTATATTTTTTACTTTGTTCTTTTTTGTACCTGTTCTGTTTTTGGAAAATGATTTTCATTTCTTTCATTTTTTTTATTCACTTAGTAGTTTTTGAATAATTTCATATCTTACTCTGCTTCATTATTTTTTATGAAATATACATTATAATATATATGATGAATCAAATATTTTACAAAGTATTATACCTTTATGGAGTTGCCTACAGTACCCAATCATAAAATGATTATAATAATATAATTCTATTTGTTCATCACATATTGATGAAAAAGTTCAAGACTTGAATAATAATAACTATATAAAAATACCATGATATTGGCCCCTTATGAATCTCCTTTTGGCTACTACATTTTTCATTCTTTTTTCTTTTGTATTTTTTCTCTGCCCGTTTTTCTGTTTTTGTTCATTTCTATTGATTTAGATATTAGCAGGAACTTTATTTTGCATGTTATCTGTTGTGTGGGAAAATGTGATGGACACCTGGACCAACGGCGCCACGACACCTGGCTATACTTGCTTTCCGCCGAGCACTCAACCCTCGACGCTTCGTTTCCCTCAAGATCAGCTATAGAGCCCGAAGATGAAGTCCATGATTAGGGCGACGACCCC